CGGAACTGGGTTACAGCAGGCGATGATTCCCTGGGGCTCTCTAAAGGTGGCGGACAAGGAGGAAGAGCGGGTCTGGGTGAAGGAGCCATTTTGTTTTGCTTACAAAGGGAAGGGCATCCATCTTGAACCACCTCATCTCATTCAAGATGCCTGCTTGTAAGACTTACTTGGGCAGCTCCTCAGCTATCTTTAACAACATGTGGTTGGGAAGGATGTATCTGCAGAAGGAGACAAGACAATTCAGATTAACAGAGTCGGAAGGGACCCTCTAGGTTGGTGGTCACCAACCAATGGGCTGGGGAGCACTGGGGGTCCGCGAGAAAAATGTGGTGGTCCGCAGAGAAATGTCGCCCCCAAAGCAATTAATCCATGCTGCGTGGGAACACAAGGCTGCGCCGCCCACATGGCCCACGGGAACACAAGGCTTGCGTCGCTTGCATTGCGAACACGAGGTAGTGAGGGGAGGGGGGAAAGGGGAGAGGGGGGACACTTGCCCCAGTCACCCCACGTGCCTGGCCTGGCCACCGGGCTGCTTCTTTCTGCTTGATTCTTCTGCTTTTGGCTGCATGCAAGGAAAGCAGCAAAAGTCTTTCTTTCTCTCCCCCAAACTCCACCAGAAATGAGTCATCCTGCTCCCAAAGGCTGCACCGGCGTGACAAGCCTCACAAAGACTCATTTCTGGTGGAGTTTGCGGGAGAGAAAGAAAGACTTCTGCGGCTTTTGCTGCTTTCCTAGCATGAAGCCAAAAGTCTCTCTCTCCCCCTGAGAATGGAGCTGGAGACGGTATCCGCGATCCCAAATAAAGAATGATCGATTGGTAGGAAAACGGGGTGGGGAATTTTCCTGCAGACTTTTGTGGGGATTTTTCCAGGGTCTCTGCTCTGTGGGATTTAAAATGATGAGTCTGGGGGTCCCTGAGGTCCAAAAGTTGGACAACCCCTGTTCTCGGTCATCTAGTCCCACAATAAATAAGAGTTAGTTGCTTGTCTCGGGTGCCTGCTGAGGTCTTTGTCAAGAGTCCCTATTTGATCCACCATGGCTAGAGCAAACCTCTTTTAAGCTGGTCCAACTAGCACACCCAAAACAAGTAAACACTTCGGGAGCTTCGAATTCCCAAAGCTAAAACTTTATTGGATACACCGTTTTGGTACTGAAGAATCAAAACCAGCTCTGGTTTTCACGGGCAAAGGCTTGCCTAGTTAAAAATGGCTTCCCTCTCTCTCCGGGTGATCACATTGTCCAATTACGAGATGTCCTTTTGTTATGGGAACTGGTCTCCTCCTCCTCAAGCAGCTGCAGTCGTGACCTTGGTGGGTTTCCAGGCTCTCACGATCCACACACACATTCCCAGCACTCTCCCCCCCCCCCAGTTCATTGGCAAACTGAATGTCAAGCCTGAAATTGACCTAAGTGTCGCCATTTTTGTTAGTCTTAGTATATGTTCTTCTTACTTTCTCTATGGTCGTCATGGGAGGAAGGGTTTTGGGCTTGCCACATTCCTAAGTGGGGAGGAGTGGAGGTAAAGAGAGTTGTTTTGGCTAGGTGATCCTTCTTCCCGTGGGAAACGAGCTTTGAGGTGGAGATTTATGACATCAAGCAACACTGAATTACTTCTATTGGACAATGTGACTTTGGGGTGCTGTTTCTAACTTGTAATATTGTGGGGTATTTGTGGGTTGTGTCAGATCTGGAATTACCATGGACTTTGACAATTTGACGCTTTCCCTAAAGAAAAGAAATCTTTTTGGAAGGTGGACTTTGTACTTTTCTTTTAAAATGGATTTCATCACTCGGAAACCTGACGCTGAAGAGCGAGAAGGTTTGAAAGAAGCAAAGCGGTTCAAGGGACCAACGGTCCCATTGTAACTTTTGAGTGGTCAGTAAACGAACTGTTGTAAGTCAGGGAGCGAGGGGTCCCCAACTGCCCCTGGACCTCACCAAGAATCTTTCTCTCACGTAACTATAAAGTCCAAGCAAAACTGTTGGTTTGGTAGAACCCAAGAGAGGCGCCTGGCGGCTGTTCTCCTCACCCTGTGCTCTCATCCTCTTGACGCGCCATCTTGTCCCTCCAGGCGAAGAGCAGCCGAAAAGCTGTAAGTTGCTGGGTGTTCAGGTGCTTCTTTTGCTTGCGGTAAAGTTCCAGGTACGAGTCGTCTGTGAAGATGGGCTTGGTATATTTCTAATTATGAAGAGATGAACACATACGATGGCCTCCTGCAATCATCTACCAGCGAAAACAGGCTCCCGAGCTCTGTTTTCAGCTACGATGGCCTCCTGCAATAATCTGCCAGCAGAAACAGGCTCCCAAGCTCTGTTTTCGGCTACGATGGCCTCCTGCAATAATCTGCCAGCAGAAACAGGCTCCCGAGCTCTGTTTTCGGCTATGATGGCCTCCTGCAATCATCTGCCGGCAAAAACAGGCTCCCGAGCTCTGTTTTCGGCTATAATGGCCTCCTGCAATCATCTGCCAGTGAAAACAGGCTCCCGAGCTCTGTTTTCGGCTACGATGGCCTCCTGCAATCATCTGCCAGCGAAAACGGAGCTCACGGCCCTTCCCAAGCTCAGTTTTCACTGGCAGAGGCATCGCAGGCCACTCCTTCGCTGTTTCCAGGGTGGCCCTGTGGGCCATATCTAGGCACCCCTGTGGGCCAGATCCAACCCACGGGCCTTGAGCTTGACCTCCCTGCTCTAAGGCAACAGCTTCTCTTCTCCGCTTGAGCCCAAGGATAGTCCTGCGTCTTCCACCCTCACCTTTAAGCAGATGCTCCGGCTTCGCTGCCAAACCACTTGGAGCTGAGTGGGCTGCTCGTTGGCCATTTCCCAGAGGGCCTCTCTCACTCTGTCGTAGATGTATAGCAAGTAGTGGGTATCCTCGCGGGCGTAAAAGACCATTTCCTCCGGCAGCGGACTAGAAAACAAGACCAGAGGAAAACAGGGTTGCCCCGAGAATCGTACACGAATTCTCAAATATTTCCGCTCCCTGCCCTCTTCCTGAAATACTCAAGTCACCATTGAGCCTATTGACCAAGCTGTGGCCCAAACAAGACAGTTAAGAGAAAGTTGTCCCATTTTACAACCGTTCTTGCTGCACTTGTTAAGTGAATCACCACAACGGTTAAGTTAGGAACATGGCTGTTAAGTGAATCTGACTTCCCTTCGATTTTGCTTGTTGGAGGGTTGCAAACGATCTCATGAACCCGGGACACTGCAACCGTCATAAGTGTGAGCCAGCTGCCAAACGGCTGAATGACCACAGCGAGGCTGCAGTGGTTTTAAGTATGGAAAAAAAATGGTCAAAAGCCACTTTTATCAGCGCCGTTGTGACTTTGAATCAACACTAAATGAACTCAAGGACAATCTATATAGCTAAGGGAAATAGAGACCCGAATGGTTTTCAGTCAAGATTCACATTTCTTTTTCCCAGATTAATTTCGAATACAGAACTGGAAAGGATCTTGGAGGTTTTCTTTCAAGCAGGAGAGGTCAGCGTTCCAGCAAACGTCCATTCCAACCAGTAACTCCGAGACAAACATATCTCAAAAGTACCTTTATTAGAATAGCACCGGGCACATCTGTGGAATCCCAAATCTAAAAGGTTTTTTCGGCTTTCCACAATTTTTCAAACTACAAATCCATCCCCCCTTTGGTTGTCATCACATCAACATGGCCCGATCACGATCCGTCCAAAAGTAGGATCCTTAACTGATAATCAGAGTTGGAAGGGGCCTTGTAGGTCATCTAGTCCAACCCCCCACCCAAACGGGAGACCCTACACCATTTCTGAAAAATGGCAGTCCAATCTCTTCTTGAAAGCCTCCAGGGATGAAGCTCTCACAACTTCCAAAGGCAACTTCCGTTCCTGGGTTGATTGTTCTCACTGTCAGAAAACCATTCCTTATTTCCAGGTTGAATCTCTCCTTGGTCAGTTTCCATCCATTATTCCTTGTCTGGCCTATAGGCACCTTATAAAATAGCTTGACCCCTTCCTCCTCTCTGGGGCAGCCCCTCAAATATTGGAAGGCCGCTATTCTGTCTCCCCTGGTCCTTCTCTTCCCTAGACCAGCCATGCCCAGTTCCTGCAACCGTTCGTCGTATGTTTTAGCCTCCAGTCCCCTAATCCTCCTGGTTGCTCTTCTCTGCGCTTTTTCCCAAAGCCTCCACCATCCTTTTTCTAAGCTAAAAAGCAGCCAAGTGACCGAATGAATTAAGAGGAAACCCTGCACCGGAAAGGCTCTTCCCACGGACCACGGGGACAAATCTTACCGGATCCGCCAGTCCGCCAGCTGATATTGCTTCTTGGCATCCACGTCGCAGTAGAGTTTCAGCAGATGATGCAGAGAGTGACGTCCAAGGTTGAGCAGCCGAGCTGCCTGGTGAGTGTCGAAGACGTTCACCAAATAGAGGCCGAAGTCCCTCTGAAGCCACTCCACGTCCGAATCAGCGCCGTGAAGGACCTGCAAAACGCCATCAAGAGAACACAACTGAGCCACTGACCGCTCTAGATTCTGGAAAAGGGCTCCTCCTCGGCCCAGCGGCACCAGAAATGGGGGGCTGATGGGGCCCGATTGGTTCCCCAGCCTTCAGCCACTACCTGGTTCAGAGAGCAGCTCTCAACCATCCCACTGGGTCACCTAGCAAAGGAAGATTTGATTTTGCCAAGAATATACTTGTCACGGCTGACCTGAGACGCGCCCGTGCTCGCAACCAAAATATTGGAATGTAAGGGAGGGTTAGGAGGGAATTGAGGGAGGCAAGTGAGCCCGCGGAGCCTGGGACAGTCCCGACACCCCAAGGTCAAACGCTGGGAGAACTCCAAGACGCTCAGGAAAGTTCCCAAAACAAAATGAAAGCAATTGATGGGTGGACAGTGAACCGTGGGGAAGTTCAGGGGAAAAAGGGGGATTTTAGCTATGCTGGTTTTTATGCTGTCTTGTCTGCATCAAGACATCTGCCTCGTTCTCATCCCTAACCGTCTTCTCCTTTCACCTTGACAATTGCAGGGTCGGTGAAAGTTTCGTTCAAGATGTACAAGTCGCTGCGTAGCTCTAACGGGTCGATGATGAAGTCCTCCGTCCGGGTAGAAATTTGCATCAGGCAAGTCAGCCCCAAGAAACTCCGATAGGAATGGTGCTACGGGAGAGAAACCAAGTAGGTAATAAGTCAAAGTAGATAATAAGATAATGTTGGGCAAAGCAGGTAGTAAGATAATATACTGTCAAGAAACTTGAGCAGTCTTTCTTTCTCTCCCCCAAACTCTGCCAGAAATGAGTCTTTGGGACCCTGCAAGAGGGACCCTGCTCCAAGAGGCTGTGCCAGAAAGACAAGTCTCACAAAGACTCATTTCTGGCAGAGTTTGGGGGAGAGAAAGAAAGACTTCCGCTGCTTCTGCTGCTTTCCTTGCATGAAGTCAAAAGTTTCTCTCTCTCTTTCTCTCCCCGAGAACAGAGCTGGAGACAGTATCCTGCGATACCAAATAAAGAATGATCGATAGGTAGGAAAACGGGGTGGGCAATTTTCCTGCAGACTTTTTTGGGGATTTTCCCAGGGTCTCTGCTCCGTGGGATTTAAAAGGATGAGTCTGGGGGTTCCTGAGGTCCAAAAGGTTGGCAACCCCTCATCTCAATCACGTGCACAACTTATTTTCCCCCCGGCTATTCTACTTACTGTTGCTGACATGCAAAGTAAACAGCTGACCTTCTAAATGCTCCATTTTCAGTGCTGCGCACTAGTCCCTTAAGCTCACTAAACCGGTTGTTAAACCAGCGCTATCCCACCCCTTGATAGTTCCCATAACAAAGAGAATTGGGGGGTTTGGCTGGGAGAATCATTGTTTAATTCGATGAATTGGGGCCTGAGGATCTCTGCGTTAGTTTTACCTTGACATCGCTATGCCATGTATTCAATAAACACTAAGCTTTTCAGAAACAAAAACGGTCCCAGACTTTTTATTGGGATACTCAAGCCGGACGTTGACACGTACGTATCCTGCTTTTAAGACTCACACCTTTTCCCAGAGCAGAGATCTTCTCCGCAAAAGGGAAGAAATAATTAATGACAAATGGAGCATTATGAAAACACTCCCTCAGTTTAAAGTCCCACCAGCGTTTCTCGATTTCTGAGAGTCCAACTCACAGGCTCTCATTTTTATTTTTATTTATTTTGCCAGCGTAAAAGAAAAAGAAGCCGCACCAAAAAAAAAGAAGAAAGAAAGAGAGGCTCACCTCCAAATCCAAAGCAAACTCTTTGCAGCCCACCAACTTCTCGTTCAAGTCGACCAACTCCTCCAAGGTGGAAATGAAGTGGCAGGGAGTCTCCGCCAATGGTCTGAACATCTGGTCGTAAAAAGGAAAGGAAAGGAAAAGAGGAAGGACGGATGGATGGACGGACAGACAGAAAAAGAAAGATATTGTAATTTCAACTGTAGAACCCAGAAGGACCTGGAGGAAGATGGAAGATATTGGCCCAACGCTCACCTGGACCTGAGGCTTTTCGAGACATTCTGCTGGCACCGAAAAATGTTCCAATTCATACCGATAAGGGTGAGCAAACCTACAAGAATCCGGAAGAACCGTACAATCAGGAACTAAGATTGTGATTCTTAACTAATGAAGAAACCAGCAAACGGCAGTACCAGGAATCAATGAAGACAACCAAGGCGGTAGGTTGAGTCTCAAACTTTCTATATTTGGATGTCTTGGGACTAAAACCTATTTATTTGAGGTATACAGCTGCCCGGAGTCAAGCTAGGGGAGATTGATGGCTACATAATTTAAAGAATCTCCCAGAATTCCAAAGGGAAGGCTTCTCTGAATTTGTTGCAGGTTTTATGGGAGATGCAGATGCGAAGGAGTGCTAGAAGAAACACTGTCTGTTGAGGTGCGTTTCCACTGTTTTAATCATTTTTAAAAAAATCTGTAAGCTACCCAAAGTCTTAACCAATTTAATAGATTAAATTAATGGCGGCCGTAACACATCTAGCAATGGCAATAACAGCCCTCTCTAAACGGTTTAGAGTTGGCCTCTTGCCCCTGACAATCCGGGTCCTCATTTTACCCACCTCGGAAGGACGGAAGGCTGAGTCAATCTTGAGCCAGTCAGGATCGAACTGCTGGCAGTGGGCAGAGTTTTCCCTGCAATGCAGCATTCGAACCACTGCGCTACCCCGGCACTACCCGATTAAATACAATTAAACTTCCTTGTCCTTACATGTCCTGCTCCGTCTGCTGGGTTCTCTGCTGGTGGAGGAAGTCAGCCAGGGCCGCGGGGACATCCAGATCTTCCGGACGCTCCTTCTGCTCTTGACGGCTCTTCAGGAGCGCTGGAGGGAGGGGAAACCAAGCGCTAAGACCCAGCCACCCCGACACACACACCAGCGCTCTCAGGGTGGCTGGTTATTCCCCAGCCTGTTGCCACTGGAAGGAGCAGCCAGCCGCACGGTAGATCTGTCTGTCCAACCTCACATTCCTCCCCTCTTCCCTCGCACCTTTGGGCAAGGGCCTCAGAGCGTTGGGCTTGACGAAGAGCTTGGCCACAAACGGGGTGTTGGAGTTGTCCACCTTCTCACGGAACTTGAGCTGAGGACGGACAATGTTCTTCGCGTGGAGGAGGCGGAACGTCTCCAGGTTCGACCTCGTGCTGGGGTCTCGGTTTTGCTGGGGAAAGGGAAATTGGGGTGGGGGCAGCATGAGACTTTCGTCCAGTTAGATCAAAGGTCTTCAAACTTGGCAAACTTGGGACTTCAACTCCCAGAATTCCTGAGCTAACATGACTGGAGGAGGAATTCTGGGAGTTGAAGTCCAGAAGTTTAAAGCTGTCAACTTTGAAGACCCCTGATCTACAGTATCTATCTTCTACCTCCATCTCTACCTACCTACCTACCTTGTCTGTCTATCTAATCCAAGGGTCTTCAAACTTGGCAAGTTTAAGACTTGTGGACTTCGACTCCCAGAATTCCTGAGCTAACATGGACTGGAGGAGGAATTCTGGGAGTTGAAGTCCACAAGTCTTAAAGCTGCCAAGTTTGAAGATTTAGATGCTCTTGGACAAACTCCCAGCTGATAAAAACCTAATTGTTCCCCCCACCATCCTAGCTCAGATTTAAAAATACGTGGCTTTTGACTAGAATAACAGAGTTGGAAAGGACCTTCGAGGTCTTCTAGTCCATCCCCCGCTCAAGCAAGAAACCCTATGCCACTTCAGACAAATGGTTATCCAACATCCGGGGTTTTCAATGTACGGAATGTGAAGGATGTGTGTTTTGTTTATTTTCATAGTCATAAATTGTACCCTGAAGATGGTATTTAATTTCATGGCACGAGGTGCAATAACCATAAACTCAACTCAACTCAAGGGAGCTCGGGAGGGCTGCAACCATGGGCCAACCCTTCGCTGTTTCCAGGGCAGCTCCAGGGACCAGATCTAAGCACCCTGCAGGCTGGACCTGCGCGCCCCCCCCCCCCCCAGGCCTTGAGTTTGACAGCCCTGGCCTAGAAGCCAACCCTGCACTTCAATACACCAAGCCCAAAAGATGAGCCTCACCTTGCGATTCCAGCTAGAGACGATTGTCTTGGGGGGCTGCAGGCCTGTGGGAAGGACCGGCTGTTGATTCTTGTTTACTCCGGCAGCTTCGTCCAATAACATGCCCTGAAATTTCAGAGAAGGAAGTTGTGGGCCCGTCGGGCAGATCGCAAGAACGAAAAGGGAGGGAGGGGGAGAGAGAGAGAGTAATCCCTGGGGGGACTTCCCGGAAGGGGGCTGCTGCTGCTACGCTCACCACTCGTTCTAAGATGACATCATTGGCGTCAACCAGCAGGTCAAATTTGTCCTCCAGCTCTGTGACTTTGCTGTGGTCTTGAAGGTGGCTCCGACACCCATGGTACTGCATCACCTTACTCATGCTAAGGAGAGAGGGAGGGGGGAAGAGAGGGAGAGACGGAGAGAAAGAGAGGGGGAGAGAAAGAGAGAGGAAGGGAGGGAGAGAAAGTAAAGAGAAGAAAGAAAGAAAGGGGGACAGGGGGAGAAATGAGAAAGAAAGGAAGAAAGAGAGAGAGAGAGAGAGAGAAAGAAAAAAAGAGGGAGGGGGAAAGAGAGGAAAAGGGGTAGAGAGAGAGGGGGAGAGAAAGAAAGAGGGAAGAGAGAAAGAAAGAAAAAGGGAGAGAGAAAGGAAAGAAAAAGAGGGAGAGAAAGAGAGAAAGAGGGGGGGAGAAAGGAAAGAGAAAGAAAGAAAGGAAGGAGGGGAGAGAGAAAGAAAGAAAGAAAAAGCAGGAGAGAGAGGGAGAGAGAAAGGAAAAAGAGAGAAAGGAGAGGGAGGGAGAGAAAGGAAAGAAAGAGAGGGAGAGAAAGAAAGAAAAGAAGAGGGAGGGAGAGAAAGGAAAGAAAGAGAGGGGGAGAGAGAAAGAAAAGGAGAGGAAGGGGAAAAGGAAAAGGGGAGAGAGGGAGAGAGAGGGAGAAAGGAAAGAAAGAGGGAGAGAGAGGGGGAGAAACGAAAGAAAGAAAGGAAGGGAGAGAGAGGGAGAGAGAAAGGAAAAAGAGAAAGAAGCGGAGGGAGGGAGAGAAA